CTGGACCAGAGTTCTTGATGTGAATAAGGAGCAGCAGCTTTAAGATTAGGAAAAATTAAGCGATACTGACCAAACAATGTCAAAACCTGGTTTAGAACTGTTTAATGTTACTGTGGTTGAAATGTTGACACTCCTGGTTCAATAGATCCCATTTATTTGAATAACACCATGTTTCATTCTGTAGTCTAGAACATAGAGGAGGGAAACCCAATTAGCCCAGGTAAAGTTGGTGGGGCTCATAGTGAGCTTCCCCATATGCAGCTGGTTGGGCACTATGTGAACAGAGTATGGGACTTAGGTGAGGATGAAATGGTAAATTTTGTGCAGGCCTGTCAGATCTTTCTCTGCTGCTGTTCTTGTTTGGATGCAAGTGGTCCATCAACCTAATGACCCTTTTTTCCAAGGCTTGGAGAAGTCAAAGTATCATTGTCATAAAAATCAAACTATCTTCCCAACTTGTGGTCATGTTATGCAAATTAGTTTTATGAAATGGGTACTTACTTATTTCTGAGCATCTCCCGTATGCTTGGGAATAAATACGGTGCTCTTGTGCTCCTGTCTCCCGTCTGGGTAAACCTGATACTTCATCCAGATAATTATCTTCCTTGTTAACCTTGTCAAGTACACAATTAAGCTTAATTAATGGGAACTTTAATGCTAGAAAGAATATTGATGAGCTCCACCTGAACTGAACAGTGATCCTCTAACACTAACCATTAAAATGACATGTAATACAGATATTAAAACTTGACAGTTTATATTTAGGTATTGCTGATAAGTAGAAGTACACAACAGTTAATTTAGCTTTCACAAAAATATTTCTACAGAATAAAAATTTTATGTGTATCTGCAGATGTAACTGGATTTTTTTTTTTGCTGATCATACTTGACATTCGTCTTCTTCCGTGATATGAATAAAAGGCAGTTAAAAGGTAATAGGAGACCATTAATAACTACTTCTGGTGCCTTGTGAACTACCAGAAGGAAGTTACTAGAAACGATCACTGTTTTCCTCTCTGGTACTTAATTTTTCAGACACGTAGTGGTGCTGCGGGTTAAACCGCAGAAGCCTCTGTGCTGCATGGTCAGAAGACCAGCCGTTGTAAGATCGAATCCACACAACGGAGTCACCTCCTGTCACTTGTCCCAGCTCCTGCCAACCTAGCAGTTCAAAAGCATGCAAATGTGAGTAGATAAATAGGTACCACTACGGTGGGAAGGTAACTGTGTTCCGTGTCTAGTCGCGCTGGCCACGTGACCACAGTAACTGTCTACGGACAAATGCTGGCTCTACGGCTTGGAGACGGGGATGAGTCAGACATGACTAGACTAAATGTCAAGGGGAACCTTCACCTTTAGATTACTTACTTTTTCAACTCAATAGTGGCCAACAACACGTGGCCCTTCAGATGGTGGTGCAACTCCACTCACCTTGATCAGCATACCCAGAGGTGAAAGATAATGCCAATAATATCTGGATAGCCATATGACGTCCATCATTGTGCTGGATAGTTCACTTTTTTTTTCTTCTGTTTGTATTTTGTTGAAATGAAAACCTCACTCTTGTTAATTTTAAAATTGCACTGAATTTCACAGTGGAATGATTTCTTTATTGTAAGGGAAAACACCTTGTGGCTCTGGTAATACTGGGACAAACACTCATTGTGCTTACCAGTGACTTTGCTAGATAGGACTAATAGGAGGTATAGTCCTTCAGCATATGGAAGGAATACAGATTGCCCATTCCTGCACTGTATAACAGTGGTTGCATTCAGTACTGTGAATGGCACTTCTTACTTTGCGTTGTATTAGGCTGTCAAGTTGTTTCTGTCTTATGGAGAGTTTTATATGGCCTTTAAATTCTTTAGGAATGTTACTTAGATTATATTTTGCAACCATGATTGTTTCATTGTTCCTCAGTTTTACTCTTTTTTTATATTAACAGTTCGCAGTCTGTAACACAGTCTGCTTGTGGTCTTGTTTTTGCAGCGAGAATGGAACCTCTCCATCTGCTGTGCCTTTTTATAGAATGGTTTCTGTGTTGGCCAACTGGTGAAGTCCAAGTGTACAATCATCGCTTCTGATTGCCTGAAGCATTTATTTCTAATGGATAAATTTTGGGATTACAGAATTGTATGAATTGCTCTCCTGCCTAATCTGTAATTCCTGGGTGAAATGTCCCAGTGATACTTGGTCTTTTATTTCCTACTTCTGTGTTCCAGTCACCTATGATTATCAGCACATCCTGTTTAGGTGTGTGATATATTTCCTTCTAAACACTTGGGTAAATGTTTTTCATTTCTTCTTTTTCGGCATCTGTAGCTGGAGTACTGACTTGAATGATTATGTTGAGAGACCTTCCATGAAGTCTGATTGATAGTATTTGGTTTTTATAGCTGGGTGGATAAACTCAGTCAGATGGAGCACTTGGCTGCAGAACTAGGGGTCAGTGGTTTGATTCCCCACTATGCCTTGTAGGAGAGAAACTAGCCTATGTGGTCTGGTCTTGGGCAGACTACATAGTCACAGAGTGCTCCTAAAAGAAGCACCACAGTGTTTAAACACTCCATTTCATGATTTTAAGCTTCACAGTCCTTGCATTCCATGTTTCAATTATATGCATTGTTCAGCTTCTGACTTTGTGCATATTACCAACCTGATGATCTCTCAGTTTTTATCTGTCTGCATGATTCGGAGTAGAGCTAGCTGATAAGAGTGCTTTCTGATTCGAGTCTTGTTGTCCAGCATTTCTTGTTCCTTCATTTTAGATTGTCTCACCATAGGATTTTTGAGATATAAAATATTCAGAAATGGTTTATCATTGTAAAAGGGTTTGAGTTTGTCAGGGATGTGGTTGCCCAATAGGTGGCTTTCAAGAGTTTCACTGGCCCCATCACCACTGGAATTAACAACTCTCTTCTGCTGATGTGACCATTAATTCTTGAGGAAGGTGGATAAATCCTTGTCTGGCATCTCAGTTTTGAGCATTCTGCCTTGGTTGAGCTAGCCAGGAATGTAGACTTGTAATGGATTCTAGTCTCTCGACAATATTGCTCTAAATTTCCCTGACACACTCAAATCCTTTCACCATCTTATGGTTTTTTAATCTTTTCAATCGCACCAAATAACAAAGTGTTCAAATTCTTATGTCAATGTTGAGTACCAGTAATTAGTTCTGAGCAATCTTCATTTTAGATAGTTTTCTTGATTTTCACAATACATCTACATGCTTGATAAGCACATCTGGAAATAATCTTGTAAATAGGTCCATAGCAATTTTTAAAAAAGCTGTTTGACTTGAAATTCCCTCCAATGTATGTGTATTTGTGTTCAGAACAGGAAAATCTTTCCTGACTGACATTTCAGTGTTTTTAGTTCCCATCATAAGCAACCAGTGTTCTTTTCACTATTAGCATGTTGGAGCTTCAGCTGCAGAAGGTCCTGCTGTACTGGCATTGCACGCCTAGTTGAGACACATAGGAGTATCCACAATGTTACACTGGTGTGGTGGCTTCCCTTAGTTGCCACTCCATGCATGTAGTTACGGAACAGAGTACTGGGCAGCATATTTAAATTTGTATCCTGCATTCCCTCAGCAAAGTCCACAGGGCAGATTGAACTCTTGTTGTGTGTATGTTGGAGGAGGTAAAGGGTGTGAGGATGCTTGCCTTAAGATATCTTAAGTAATTAGCTATGCTGGATCTTACTGAAGAGCTATCTGTCTTGGAATGATGGTTCCCACAGTAGCCAACCAGATGGCCAACAGCAGCCAGCCCATGTGAGCAGAATAGCATCTTCCCACTTATGTCTTCTGTCAACTGACATTCTGCTTCCAAGACTGAAGAAGTTATATCCTGGCAGACTTACCTTCAATTTATTTGTTCTGTCCTCTTTTAAAGCAGTCCGACAGGTAGCTATCATTGTTTCTTGCGGTACCAAAGATCCTTCATTGTTTAACTTCCTTCCATTGTTTAATGATGCACTACACGAATAATTGTATCCTTTCGTCTGTTCTGAATCACTCACCATTCAGCTTTCTTAGATGACTGCAAGTTTTAATGTGCTGAGACAAGGAGTGAATCTTCTCTTTATAGGTTATCTCCACATCATGCATAACTGTATATACTTATGTCGTATTCTCTTTGAAAACATTGGTATCTTCCCTCTTAGAGGAGTTGGTCCAACCCACTGAAGATTTTGCATGCTCTTTTCCACATCATTTCTATCTCTCTGTTACTCATTTTGTGAAGCAGTGCCCAGAACTACTATATAGCATATATACAGTATAGATTGGCTTATTCTATGCTTATATATATTTATTACAATTACTTATATGCAGTGTTTTAGGACATAGATCAGAAGTAAGGAATCTGTAGAAGTCTGGAATGTGGACACACTCATTCCTGGACCTTGGAGGGCCACTCCTGCAATCCTACCCCAATGTTCTTCTTTTAAAAGTGGATTGATTTTCTTTGTCCAGCCTCCTAGCATCCTATGGTAGCCATGCTGAATGGTGGGTGGGAGGTGAGCACTGGGCCTTGTAGAGGGCACAAGGAGAATTTTGGAGCCACTTTGTTTTGGGAGATTAGATCAGAGGACATTAGAATTCACAGTGGTTTCAGATGATGCAAGGGTGTTATGTTAAGCCATAAGAATAAATTCAACATTACCCATACTACCGTCCCTCAATACACTGGAATCTGGGGGCAAGGGTTCGGGCATCATCTACTTGCCCACAAATTTATTTTTCTTTTGAAGGTATGTTTTGACCTAGGAATGATGGTGGTTTCCTCCACTTTCTACTTCCTTTCTAGTTCTGGAATGTCCACTAGATTCATCCATTTGGATACTGCGTGTAAAATAAAGAGCTGTGCACTGATCTTGCTGTGAACTGATTTTGGACTTCTCTTAGGTTTTTTCCATTCTGAGGAAATTACAGATGAGATATCTGATAGCCAAAATCCTTGCAAATAGTTCTTTGTATTTTGCATTCCTTTCAGGAGCGGTTGAAGTATCACGCCAGAGCCCAATTGCCTGCTGGTTTAGTGCTATGCTTTATTGCTTTGGTGGATCCATTTTATCTTCGCTGATGCTGGGAGAACCTCCGGTTGCCTTCCTTGCTAACACCACAAGTGTTCTCCTTGCTTCATCGGTCTGGTAAGCACCTTCTAAAAATAAAATATATTGTCTAAAAAGCTAGAGCTGTGCTCAAAGATCTCTTTTCAAAAGCATGATTTAAATTAGAAGTGAGAAACCTTTGACCTTCCAGATACATTTTATGCAACCTTTATTAAAAGAGTAGCTGTGTTATTCTGTTTTAGCATATTGACAAAATTAAAAGGTAGTCCTGCAGTGGTAAAAAAAAAAACAAGAAGAGAAAAAGCAGAAGACAAAAAGTTGTAGCACCTTTCAGACTGAAAGATCTGTTTCTGTGTGAGCTTTCAGGGATCACAATCTGTTCTCAGTTATGCACTCCATACATCTGAGGAAGTGGATCTCGATGCACCAAAGCTCACATGGAAATCTCTTGTCCTTCAGGGTGTCACAGTGCTCAACTTTTTCCTGCCCTCCTCCTTTTTTTTTCCCCCTGTAGATATGTCAACATTTTGGACAACAGTTTATGAGAGCTTATGAGAATTGTGAGCCAAAACACCAGGTGGGTCAACGGTTTCACACTGCTGATTTAAAATGTTAATTTTAGATCTGTCACATGATATGAAGGAATCCTTGGCTATTAACTGTATGTGTTTTAATAGATTCAACATGCACATATTATATATAAATCTGTAGTTTGGCAGGAAAAAACTCTATCAGAGAAGAAACTCTTAAATGTGCAAGAGACAAAAAATGCCCTGGATTGTTCACTAGCCATACATTTATCTTTCTCTTGCTCTCTGTGTATGTATAATTTATATAGAGAGATTTTATGTATAATATATCCTCTTTTTCCTTATAGGGGCCCAAGCAACCCAAACTATAATAGCTAACAGCTAAACATACTAGTATATAAATATCACATTAAAATATATGATATATATATAGAATAATATTAAAAATACATGATATAAATAGTATAATATACTATATACCAGTGGTCCTCAACCTCTTTGGGGCCAAGGACTGGCTGGTGGGAGCAAGCTCCGTATGCCCCGCCATGAGCACGACACCCCCTGCCGCGAGCAGGAGGGGGTGGAGATCTGTATCCATGGCCCAGTTCCGGCAAGCCCATGGACCGGCACTGGGCCACGGGCCGGTGGTTGACGACCCCTGCTATATACTATACAGTGGTGCCTCACTTAACAAGCGCCTCGTATAGCGACGAATCTGCATAGCGGTCCCTTTTCTGGGATCGCTAATGCGGAGCCATCGCGTCAGCCTCTATGGCTGAAACTCGCATAGCGAAGATCGGTAAGCGTTTCGCTTACCGCCCTTCGCTTTGCGACCCGCGGATCAGCTGTTCGGCGGGGCCAAAATGGCCGCTGGAACAGCCGAAATGGCCGCGTGCAGCGTTTTCGCGCCCTCCCCTCGCTTACCGAGGGCGCGAAAATGGCTGCTGGCTATGGGAAGACTTCGTTAAACGGTGAGTTTTCTACCGATTTGGAATGGCTTTTTTTGTTCCGTTTAACGAAGTATTCACATAGCGAAGGTTAATCCGGAACGGATTAACCTCGCTATGCAAGGCACCACTGTAGTATAAAATACATACTAAAAATACACCTGCTTTGGAGACACTTTTTCAATTGGTCAGAAGGTTTTTAATGAGTTTAATCAATGAATTAACTAAATTCTGCACCTAATTTTAAAACACCTTGAAAGCCTGTGAAGAAAATTACAGAATTCTCACTTTGTGAATATATACATTTACCTGTATCCTTCTGGTTTTGGGAAAAGGAAAACAGTTTGTGGGCTTTACAGCAGAGCCATTGCCATCCTGGTCAGACGATAGCTATGACATCAAGATGTCACTTCTTTTTCTTCCTCCTTCTGCCCAGCTGCCTCAAATTTTATTTACAAGTTTATTTACAAGATTATCTACATTGTATAAAAAATTTATCAGGCTTTAAAAAAGAATAGAGATGATGTGTTAGATTGAATACAGATTCAGGCATGGAATTTCACAGTTTTTTCTAAGGCAATGGGATTTGCTCAACCCGTCAAAAGAAATTGCATACCAGCTCTTATTTTTAGGTTTAGTTTGAATTAACTTATGATGCTTTTCCTATAAATCCTGCAATCCTGTACACATGTAATTGAGAGTGAGCTCTGACTAGAAAGCAGCAAGGTGTAGATAGGATCAGGCTGCTCATATCAGTTATTGGAATGTAAATGGAAGTAAAGATTTCCCTTTCTATAGCTGCTTAGATAGAACAAAGATTGAAAGTGTACACCCAGAAAAATGAGTGATTACTGTAAGCTAGGTTTGCATGTGAATTTTTTACAAAATGGGTGACTCAGCTGACCCCTGGTTGTGTTTTGCAGTGGCACAAAAGTGTATTTACAGTCTTTTTATCCATGCCAAAAAGTACATGCTGTTCCTTTTCAGGATTTCTCCGTAATTAGTGTAACTCATTAATAAACCATTTTGAATGAGGCTTGAACTTTGAATCCCAATTTTTGTTAGGAGTTGTTGTACTGAATTAAGCTCTTTCTGTCTGTGACACACATTGCTGGTCTCTTAGGCTGGGTGGAAGTTCAGCATCTTTTATTGTTGAGGGATGTTTTCATTTTCTTACAATAGCTTCTGGTATTCTACTCATGGCTTAAAGAACAGCATTATACTTCTGGTTAACTTCACTCTCCCCTCCTCTACACAGCCGCTTGTATATTCTCCCCCCCCCACCGCCCTTTTCCTCTCCCACCCAATCTAGTACTATAGTTGGAAGTCTCTTGATAATAGAGGGAATTTCATTTAGGGGATGCAGGTTGGGGGAAGACGGCGGAAGATGTGGCTTCTCTTCCTTTTTACAGGAAGAACAATTAAAAATCCATACCTGTTGCTTTTTTCATAATAATTTAGAATGTGTATAATTCAAATTATAGGATTTGTTGCAATCTGGAAAGAAGCGGTGGTATATTTACATTTGCAAGAACATTACTTAAAGACTTAAATGGTCATTTATTTCTCAAAGCAAGCAAAATAAACAAATGCATCTCTTACTCCATGATATTAAAACAAATAAACATTTAATTAATTGTTTGCCCCTTCCTCAAGAAGGACAGAATAGAATTAGCTTAATCTGTTATACTTTTCCTACACCAAGTTGTATCTTTTTAATGTGAAAAACACAATTGAAAGAATATAAGTAGCAATTTGTATCTGTTCTGACTTTCTTATTGGTGTTTGTTGAATTAAAAAATACTGACTTTGTACTACTTACATCGCAGAAAGTGTGCATTATAGCTGTATGATAGTGCATCTGTGTTATTGTGCAGCAGAACAAATGAACATTCTACAAGGTAATTCTAAAAATGGGGGCAGCCCAAACAAAACATTATAACTTTGAGGCTCTATTTCAGCTCAGGATGAAATTTGGCACAGGTGTAGTGGATAGCCTACTCTTGGTCTTTGCCAGATTTTTGAGAGGTATAGGTAAAGGGGTTTCAGTTTATGATTTTTAAAATGTAAAATTGTTTACTACTGTTCAGAAATAGGCAATCCTAAATGTCCTCAGATTTAAAATACTGTATCTCATATAAATGGAAAAGCCAAATCTTGCTTATCTTGAAAGAGAATGATTGGCGAGAGGCGGTGCTTCGTCGTGGTGCTGCCAGCAGCCGGAATAGCTCCTGGGAAAAGCTGGAACTGCCTGGTCTGGGGTCCCTCTAGAAATGGGGGATCAAAGGGGAAACCAGGAGAGGTCTCTCTAAAGCAGTTGGTGAGCGCCAGAAGGAAGAAGATCGGGCAACAACCTGATATTTCTTCCCTCTGAAAATTTATCCGAGCACAGATCGGATACGGGAGCCATTTTGGCAAAAGAGCTGTGAACAACTCCACCCCCACCCCCCGAGGAGAGGAGAACAAGCAATACGGTGTTTGAAAATATATAACAACAAAGTAAATTGAAGTCTTTGATTTATGAACAACCCTGTTAAGCTGAAAAAAATAGAGTAAAAATACTTGGCCAAAAGAAGATAAGGAGCGGCGAGTTTTGCTTACCAGCCTGCTTCTTCAAAAATGAAACTGACTCTTAAACAGCAAGCTGGGTCAAGGCCGAAGAGAGAGACAGTGAGATGGAAAAATCTTTTGTTTCTGGAAAAAATCCCAGAGTGAAATACCAGTGAACAGGCTTTAAGAGACTGAAATTTTGTGAATGCTGTTTAGCCTGGACCTTTCTCCCTAGACTGTGTGGGACTCTGATAACAGAATCTTGCTGGGTTTTTGGAGAAGGAGGAATAAGCTTTTGGAAGAAAGAAATCGAACTGTGAATCATCAGTGAGACAACGCAATTGACGAGACTGAGGAGCTAGGAAACCAGGACTGGAGTTTTCTTCTGTTATTGAACCCCTGGATTAATGGGAAGAACATCAGGCAGATTATAAGGATATCTACTGGAGAGACTGGCTCCCTGTGTCTGCTGTTTAGTCTGGATTTTTTTTTTTTTTTTTGGCTGGACTGTGTGGGACTCTCATAATATTGCCATGGGTGTAATTTAAATTGTTGGGCTAAAACCTGATTTATGTACTATAATATCTGTGCAAGGATGAGAGGAAGAACCTAGGGGAGGTTTATGATTGTAGGTTGGGTTTGTTGATAAAATAGTGGAAATTTCAGAAAGATATTTGTGGGTTGGCCACTTTGGTCAAGGATATAGGACTATTTATGCAGACCATACTTATTGGAAAGATTGAATTGGCCTAAAAAAATTTAAAATATCAAATGTTCCCAATCTCAAAATTTGGGAATAGGGGCAAAAAAATCAGATGAAGAATGGCAGGCTACCATGCAAAAGATAATAACAGCAGGATTTCAGCAAGTAAATGAGGATCTCAGCCAGACAGAAGATCTGATGAAAGAGAAGTTATCAGATGTTAAACAACAGTTAAATGAAATTGTACTAACTCCAGAACTGCGTTTATTGAGTAAGGTATCAGGTAATATAGATGGGTTAAAGAATTACTCAGTGAGCAATAAGCCACTACAGTCAGAAAATGTTATG